TCCCGGGATCGAGTCCCGCATCGGGCTCCCTGCTCAGCAGGGAGTCTGCTTCTCCCTCTCCCGCTCCCCCCTCTTGTGCTCTTTCTCTCTCTCACTCTCTCTCTCAAATAAATAAATAAAATCTTAAAAAAAAAAAAAAGGGAGAGGCTCATTATTTGGGGTGCTAGGCGAATACATCACCAATGTTAAGTTATAGGCTGAGAGTACAAGCAGGATTATTTTTATTTTGCTTCAGTCTTCACTCATGCAGAATGAGAAGAGCAGAACTGAACCTCAAGATAGTGAGGGGTGTGTAAGAGTGCTTTTATCCACTCTGAATGTGTTTAAGTCACAATGGCCCAAGTGACTGCTCCCCAACATACCAGAGATTTTCCAGGTGAGTTGACTATACTGCTGCTGGTAATCTGAGAGACCCTGGCAAACAGGAGTGGTGCTGAAAGACTAGAAGTAGGCAAATGCAGTTTTGATTTTCAAAGTGGGGAGATAGGTAGATTCCACAAACTAGACCTGTGAACTTGACATTCATTCTAGGCAAAATTCTGGCTGGATTTATTGAATTTGTATTTCAATAAGGCATATTGGAAAGTCTCTTACAATATCCTTGTGAACAAAACAGAACAATTAGGTAGATCAGTTGAACATCATGGACAAAAGACTACTGTTTTTTTGGTTTGTTTTTTAAGATTTTATTTATTTATTTGACAGACAAGAGAGAGCACAGCAGGGAGAGCTGCAGGCAGAGAGAGAGAAGCAGGCCTCCTGCTGAGCAGGGAGCCCAACTCGGGGCTTGATCCTAGGACCCTGGGATCATGACCTGAGTCAAAGGCAGTTGCTTAACTAACTGAGCCACCCAGGTGCCCCACAAAAGACTACTGTTTAATGGGTTGAAGTAAATGTATAGAGAGGTATCCAGTGATGGCCTGAGGGCTTGGTCCTCAGTTTGGATTTGTTCACCATTTTATAAATGACTTGGAGGACACAGATGTGCCTATTTATCTAACCTGCAACTGACCCAAAGCTAAGAGGGAGGGCTAATACAAAGGATAACCAAATCAGGACCCAAAAATGTCTTGACAAGCTAGAACTCAGTGTCAAATCTAACAAAATGAAATTTAACAAGGGTAAACATAAGTCTGACTCTTTAAGTCCAGAAAATCAATACCAGTACCAAGACAGGGGAAGTTTGACTTGATGGTAAATTCAAGTGGATAACACCTAGGGTTTTTAATTGACTGAAATCACAGTTTAGGTCCAAAGCTAGGAAGTTAGAAGGGATTAGGGTTTAGCTTCATAAATATTATTTTCCTTCCAGTTCAATGTAAACTTTTGATAGATTTGAAAAATGTAACAGGCTACTTCAGAAGGTAAGTATGTCCTTCCTGGAGGTCCTCAAGCCAAAGTTAGATAATTCCCCTGGATGGTGAAGAATCTAGTGGAAGGTTTAGCAGAAGAAATGACCCACACAGTGCCAAGATTCTACAATCTACTTACATATAAGTAGATGTAATTACAATTAACAAAAGGAAAATAAGTTCATTTCAATTGATATAAAGTTAACTCCCTGAAAGATCGGCTAAATAGGAAGTTCAAATTTAGGCTCTCTCTTTTTTCTCTTTTATTTCCTCTTTCCTCTATTAGTCCAAAGACTCTAAAAAGAATGCCAACAGTACTTTCTCACTTCTCATAACTAACTTAAAAATAGTTTAAAACTTATTAGGGAAGAAATATATAGTTTTTATAAATAAAACTAAAACTTAGTGATGAACATAAAATGAAAAGTAATAGTTCCTCTTCTGCTTCCCCCGCCCCAAAATATTCCCCAAACTCTACGAGACTCCCCTAACCTCTAAAAGTCTCCTTCTCCAACTCCCTGAGGACTTACTCTGACCTGCTCCGTTTCCAACCTGGGCCAGTTCACCCCTCCTTAGGCAACCTGGTGGTCCCCCGCTCCCGGGAGGTCACTATATTGATGCCGAACTTAGTGCAGACACCGGATCGGCATAACGCCCTACAGCCCAGAACTCCTGGGCTCAAGCGATCCTCCTGCCTCAGTCTCCCGAGTAGCTGGGACTACAGGCGCGCGCCACCGCGCCCCGCAGAACTTAATTCTGTATACCATGACTTTTATTACACACCATTTGTTTTCTTTCTTTTCTTTTTTTTTAAAAGATTTTATTTATTTAATTGACAGAGACACAGCGAGAGAGGGAACACAAGCAGGGGGAGTGGGAGAAGGAGAAGCAGGCTTCCTGCCGAGCAGGGAGCCCGATGCGGGGCTCGATCCTAAGACCCTGGGATCACGACCTGAGCCGAAGGCAGAGCTTAACGACTGAGCCACCCAGGAGTTTTCTTGCCAACAAGACCAGAAGCTCCTAAAGGCAAGATTTCTTTTACTTCTGTGTAGCTCATGTAGCAAATATAGGCATTCCATAGAAAAACAACGTTTGGGGCTGCCCGGGTGGCTCAATCATTAAGCGTCTGCCTTCCGCTCGGGTCATGATCCCAGGGTCCTGGGATGGAACCCAGCCATCAGGCTCCCTGCTCTGCAGGAAGCCTGCTTCTCCCTCTCCCACTCCCCCTGCTTGTGTATCCTCTCTTGCTGTATCTCTCTCTGTCAAATAAATAAATAAAATCTTAAAAAAAAAAACAACCCACAACATTTGTTGAACTTTCTGATACTTCTGAGATGAGAAATAGCAATATTCTTTAGATTGCTGAAAGTCTTTCACTTCATATTTAAGTGGACATTGCTTGGTTTTGCCATCCTAGCATTTATTATCTATCTAAGCTACCTACCTAGCTCATCATCGGTTTATAGAGATCCATCCAATTGTGCTAGTAAAAGAACGCAATCTGCCAATCAGAGCATCACAGTCCCATAGACATGATTCAATCTACACATATGAGATGCCATCAAGTTGAAGGTGAGAGGATATAAAGGACCAAAAAATAGTACAAACATCTTGGGACCAATGGAATGAACCTAACCTATCCAAGTGTGGAACTAACACCCAAAAGAGCAAACCTGAGAGTTAGAGACTCTGGTGACATAATTTAGCACACCTATTATGTATTATATTCACTCCATTCTTGACTTCAAAATTGTCTGACTTTCAGGCCTCTCCTCCACCAGGCATACTACCCTGACTCCCTAGGTCTTTATCCTGACGCTCAAGGAACTCTTTTCATCAGGTGTGAGAGGTAGAATCCGAAGGAAAGACATCAAAAAAGAATAAAAAACAGAAATGTAAAAAGAAACATACATATATATATATGCAAGCAGACTATGAGTGATATATTACGGACTTGCAAATGGGAACAGCATGAAATGCTAAAAGAATGGGAAAATGGAGGTTTTCGGGTGTGCAGGTTGGTAGAAAAAAAAACGCTTTACAGGAAAGGGGCATGTAGGATGCTATCTGCATCCATGGCAAACCTCTTGTGCCACTCTCTTGGTCACTAGCCACAATAGCCAACTTTCAGTTCTTAAAAACTAAAGTTCTTGGGAAGCCTAGGTGGCTCAGTCAGTTGTGCGGAGGACTCCCGATTTCGGCTGAGGTCATGATCTCAGGGTTGGGGATCAAGCCCCATACTGTGCTCCAAATTGGCTGTGTAGCCTGTTTAAGATTCTCTCTCCCCTCCCCCCCCTTAAAAAAAACCAAAAAAACTAAAGTTCTTTCCTGTCTGAAAGCAATTATGTCACTGTCTGATGCTCTTTCCCCAAATCCTCTCACCACTGGCTCTTTTCTCACACTTTCAATCTCTGTTCAAATGCCACCACTTCAGAGATGTCTTTCCAGTCCAACCAATCTAACCTGGGCCTTTCTTTCCATCACCTCTTATTTCCTTCAAAGCTCTTAACACCAACTCTATTTACTTAAAATGTTCAGTTTATCGACTCTTTACCAATGGAATGTAAGTTTCCTGAAAGCAGGAATTCTTGTCTTGAACACCTCTTTTTCTTTATACCCAAATTCTGGCAGAGAGCGACAGATAATGAATAAATTATTATTTATGGAAGAGAATGAATGGCAGAGAGAAAATAACTTGGGAGGAAAATCGGCGTTGTAGTCAGGCTGTTCCTAGGGAAGGCGATAGGAAGGGGGCAGGAAAAGCCAGCTGGGCTGGAGACTGCATAGGGAGCTGAAGGTTTACGTCGGTGAGAGTGGAAGGTGTCGGATCAGGGCTTCAGGCTTCCCCTGGCCACCCGAAGGGTGAGCGGCTGGGTGGGCAAAGGGGCATACGCCACTTAGTGCCCAACTCCTGGGCATCCCCTGTGCGGAAAGCGAACGCTAAGCTCTCTTCAGACCCCCCCACACCCACCCCACAACCTAGGTCCCGCCCCGTGGACCTTACGCAGTCGTCTTCCACGCAATCACTAGCCCGTGGACACCAAACTTATCACCCGGGCGGAGCCCCTGTGGAGCAGCAACAAGTGAGAAACGACCACCCTCCGCCCGTCCACACAGAAGATCCGACACCTGCCCCGCATCCCGGCCGGGGCTCACCCGCCGGCTGACGTGCTTCTCCCCGCCCCCAGCCCTCCCCGCGGCCCTACTCGGGCCCTCACTTACGCTTGTCTCCGAGCTATGAGCCGATGCATGGGAGTCGCCATCTTAGCGCGGCTGAGGACTGCCGCGCTGGGTTTTGGGAAACTCCTCGGAAGGGGCGGGGACTTCGAACCCCTCGTCCTCCTGCCTGGGCGGAGCCAGTCCGGCCTGGGGGGCTTCTGGGGTAAATTTTGGGGTAAGCACTGGGTGGGTAGGTGGTAGGTCTTGTTTCCTGTGTAGTTTCTGCAGTTGGAGAAAGAGGAGGGAGGCCGGTTGTCTCACATGAACAGGCTTTTGAAGGATGAGTACAGGTATACTGCGTGAAGAGGCATGGAGAAACATTTTCAAATGAGGGAAATATATATACATATATACATAACTATGAATAAAACTGTGCAGTGTTCAGGAAGTAGTCTGGAAAGCAAAATAGAAAGGAATGAATTGAGCAAGATTGGGACCGTAAATTGAAAGACTGACTTTAGTAAACCATATAGTGCAAATATATATTAATTATTTCTATATTTATGTATTTCATAGGGATGGTTAAGGACCAAATGACACTATGTAACTAAAGCTACTTTGTCTACTGGAAAAAGTTTATACAAACATTAATTATTTTAGGATATTTTAGCATTTAGTGGCAGATCATGGAAATTTTATTCCCTTAAATCCACATTCTTTGAACCATATGTAATTTTTTGAAATATATATGTGTGTATGTTTCTGGGCTTCCATTCATTTTTTTCAGGTCTTATTTATGGAGCGCCTAAAATGTTTTAAAAAGTGAGGATAGAGCATTGAGCAAATAAAGTCCTTGCACACATGCAGCTTTCTACAAACAATAAACAAAGGCAATGTCCAATGAGCATACATACTCTAAAGAAAAAAAATTCAGGGTAAGGGCATAAAAAGTGGTTTAGCACTGGGAGCTAGAGAAGGTGATTTCCTTGACCTTTGAGCACATCTTGTTCTTAACAAAATGGAATCTTACTATCTGTTCCATTCTTCAGCTTGCTTCGTTCATTTCTCAATGTACTTACGGACATCTTTTCCCATGTGAGCACATACAGATTTGATTCATTCTTTTTCTATGTTAAGTTATATGGGTTACATGGATATTCCACAGTTTATCCAACTAGTACCCAATTTTGTGTATTTTTTTAAATATTTGTTTATTTGTCAGAGAGAGAGAGAGCGGGTATGCACACAAGCAGGGAGAGGGGCAGGCAGAGGGAGAAGCAGGCTCCTCAATATGCAAGGAGCCCGATGCGGAACTCCATCCCAGGACCCTGGGATCATGACCTGAGCCGAAGGCAGATGCTTAACTGACTGAGCCACCCAGGTGTCCCCAGTACCCAATTTTGAACAATTAGATCATTTACCACAAAGATGAGATGAATATATTTTTAAACACTCATCTGTCTTTCTGTTATATGACTTTCTGGAAGTAGAATCACTGGGTCAAAGGGTATATGCACTTTTAATTTGATTGATATTACCTACTGTCCTTTAAATAGGTTGTACCCAAATGTGTTTCCTCACCAGAACCGAGAATGGTTAAACTTTTAAACTCTTTCATATCTAATAAGCCAACTGATACATTATTGATGAGGGTAAGTACTTTTCATATGATCATTGGAGACTATTTTTTCATGACTTAACAAATTCTTTGCTTATTTTTCTATTGGATTTTTATCTTTTTAATAATAATTTATAGAAACTTTTAATATTTTATATAAAGACACTTTGTTTTATATTTTACAAATATCTTTCCTTTCAACTTTGTGATCATTTACTCTCTACAGAGCATTAAATTGTTAAATAGGCATTTTTTTTTTCCTAACTTTTTTTTTTGAAGTAGGCTCCACACTGGTCATGAATTCACAACCCCAAGATGGAGACCTGAGCTGAAATCAAGAGTCAGACACTGGGCGCCTGGGTGGCTCAGTCATTAAGCGTCTACCTTTGGCTCAGGTCATGATCCCAGGGTCTTGGGATCGAGCCCCGTGTCGGGCTCTCTGCTCAGTGGGAAGCCTGCTTCTCCTTCTCCCACTCCCCCTGCTTGTGTTCCCTCTCTTGCTGTCTCTCTCTGTCAAATAAATAAATAAATACAAATCTTAAAAAAAAAAAAGAGTCGGACACTTACCTGACTGAACCATGCAGGTGTCCCCTAAATAGGCATTTTTTTTCAATTGAAAGATTTATTTATTTATCTTAGAGAGATAGAGCATTTGTACTTGGTGGGGTGGGGGCAGAGGGAGAGGGAGAGAGAGAGAATCTCAAGCTGACTCCCCACTGAGTGTGGAGCCCGACACCACTCTCGATCCTATGACCTGAGCTGAAATCAAAAGTCGAACACTTAACCAGCTGAGGCACCCAGGTGCCCCCCTAAATAGACTTTTTTTTTTAAAGATTTTATTTATTTATTTGACAGAGAGAGACACAGCAAGAGAGGGAACACAAGCAGGGGGAGTGGGAGAGGGAGGAGCAGGCTTCCTGCTGAGCAGAGAGCCTGATGTGGGGCTTGATTCCAGGACCCTGGGATCATGACCTGAGCCGAAGGCAGACGCTTAACGACTGAGCCACCCAGGCGCCCCCCCTAAATAGACATTTTTAACAATCTTTTTCTGTATGGGTTCCTGGATTTGACTCATGCTTAGAATGGCCTTCTATGTCCCAAGATTATTGAAACGTGTTTTGAGCAGCACTGAGCTGGCTCAGTCAGTAGAGCATGTGAGTCTTGACGTCAGAATTGGGAGTTCAAGCCCCCAAATTGGGGTAGAGAATACTTTAAAAAATAAATAAATAAATAAATAATAAAATATTTTCTTGTAATTCTTTAGTTACAATTATGGTTATATTCTTAATCCTCATTTTTAGTTTTTGAAACACCATTTACTAAATAATCTATCACTTCTTTACTGATTTGAAATTCTACTTTCTTGTATACTAAATATGTACAAATTTAGTTTGAACATTTTGTTTTCTTCTGAAGATCTATTTTTGTCAGAATGTGTCATCATTTTAATTTCCATGATTCAATAGGATATTTTGATATCTGGCATGGTAATCCCTCCTAATTAATCCTTCTTTTTCCCCAATTTTCTTCATTGTTCCTAGGCATTTATTTCCCTAGATAAGCTGTATTCTCAAATTTTCTAGTTTCCCACAAAACAAGATTCATCTGTCAGCTAGTTTTAAAAGAAACTGCATTATAACAGATATGAAAAGATGAGACAGAATGAGCTTTGACAAATCAAAAGGAGAAAGCAAATGGCATTATTTGTGATGATTTGGTTGCATACCTGGAAAGCCTACAAGAATTAATTAAAAGTCTCTGGAGAGTTCAACATTGTGGTCAAGTACATATACACAAAATACAATAATAACTTGCTTTTTCAGGGGCAGGAGCAAGCCAGTGTTGCTGTTTCCCATTGAGGCCTGTGGGCTTGAGGGACCCTCAGCTTTGTTCAGAGAATTTAGGCCGAAATTCAGATGCTGAGTTTCGTAAACCTTAATGGGTTGCAGCTGAAGGAATTAAAAATTCCTGTGAAAGCTGCAAGTAATTTCTATCTGGCAAGAATGAATATTTTACTAGTCTTTAAGCAGACTGTTTATTCTAGGAAAACCTCCTAAGTGTCTTCCAGTTACATAAGATGTCTGAAAGAACTGGGGGAAGGATGGATGTAAAAGACGTGTTGGAGAGAAAGTTGCATCTCTCTGGCCTGGGATGCTTTCGGGCAAGATGGTTGTTTCCTGCTCGGACCCTGGCCTGTTAGAGAGCACCTGTGGTTCAAGAGCGGAGCACAGAACAGGACCTGCTTCTGGGGCAAACTGTGAACAGTTCAGGGCCCTGTGCTTAGAAAAGTCCCACATTTGGTTTAATGCTCTGCTACTGCCATTTTTAAAATTCATAGTAACTTTTGAACAGGGAACCCTGCATTTTAGTTTTGCTCTGTGCCATATACATTATGTAAATGGTCTGCACCAGAAATTGGTCAAAGTGTTTTCACCAGACCCTGTGAGACGAGTGAAATGCAAACTAGCTCCATCAGGATCAGAAGAGGTGAGAGAACTGATCCTCCCTGGAAGAGAGAGAGAAGAGAGAGAGGAGAACTGATTTTCCTGGAATTCAGAATCAGTCTTCTCCCTGAAGATTGGTGGCTATTGTTTAAAAAAAAAAAAAGTTTTTTGGGGCGCCTGGGTGGCTCAGTCGTTAAGCGTCTGCCTTTGGCTCAGGTCATGATCCCAGGGTCCTGGAATCGAGCCCTGCATCCGGCTCCCTGCTCCGCGGGAAGCCTGCTTCTCCGTCTCCCACTCCCCCTGCTGTGTTCCCTCTCTCACTGTGTCTCTCTGTCAAATAAATAAAATCTTAAAAAAAAATTTTTTTTTACTCTTTCATTATGTTTTACAACTAGTTATTGTAATCATTGGAGAAACCTCAGTGTTGTAAAATTGGATCCTGGGGCAAACTCAAATGTGGGTTCTCCCTTCATATGCCTTTGAATAAAAAGAAAGGAGCCCTTTTCTTTACAGTAGGATAAAAGAATTTGACTAATCTGGCTAAATAAGAGAGAGAGAGGGGGGCGCCTGGGTGGCTCAGTCGTTAAGCGTCTGCCTTCGGCTCAGGTCCTGATCCCAGGGTCCTGGGATTGACTCACATCGGGCTCCCTGCTCGGCGGGAAGCCTGCTTCTCCTGCTTCTGCTCCCCCTGCTTGTGCTCCCTCTTTCACTGTGTCTCTCTCTCTGTCAAATAAATAAATAAAATCTTTTAAAAAATAAATAAATAAATAAATAAATAAGACAGAGAGTCAGAGCAGGGTGACTATATGTTCTGTAAAGAGGAGTAGCCATGCAAGGGGATTGGCAGAAGGGCTTTTGGGCCTCTCTGGGTATGAGGCTCTGGTTCCCCAAATGAAGAAAGAAACTCTTCCATCCATCTTTGGGCAGAGAGGTGAGAACAGCGCCTGAAGTTCCTTGGAATTGGGGGAGAGCTGCCTTCCTCAGTTACTTCTACTTCTTGAGATAGCTTGACAGCTAACTACTTAACAGTTGTGTCACATTCTTTTATCTTCAGACAGAGCTGCTGG